ACATCCGTGAGAATAACTATATTCGCATTTGTTGAAGGAAAACACATAATAAAAATAAAGGCTATTTTCAGACTTCAGGTCTTAAATGTACAGAGCCCTGCACATGATTAAAAAACAAAATATCAAAGATGTTTCCATGACATATTAACTTGACAGCGAATTAATAAAAATGGCCATGATTCACCTTTTTATTAATTCAAATTAAAAAAAATTAAAACAAGTGAACAAATTAGAACAACATGGCCACGAATCAATAAGTTGTGGAAATAAATACTTCATTTTTGGCCACACTGTTTTTTTTTTTCCCTCTATATGTCACGTGCAGGGCAGGGTTATTATCGTTAATAAAAACTAAAATTATTAAAACATTTTTCTTTAATGAAATGAAGCTGAAATAAAATAAAATATAAATATAAGATGAAAAAGTTTCCAAGGCAACATTTCTAATTTTCATTTAGTTTAAGCACTAAAATTACTAACTGGAAATACTAAGTAAAAAATAAAACTGCACTAAAACTAAAACTGAAATAAAATAAAACCTAAATAGTAATATTTAAAATAAACAAAAACTAATAAAAATGAAAAAAAGCACATAAAATCACTCAACTAAATTTAAAATGAAAACTGAAAGTATAAAAGCTAATTCAAAACATGAATAAAGCTCTAATAGTATGCAGTAGATGTCTGTGTGATTTGAGTGCAGTGCGAGTCAGGATGAAGCTGCACCTGTGCTGTGAGGATGAGGATGATGATGATGCTCGTGATGAAGTCTCCTCTCCTCCTCGAAGCGGCGGCTCATCTCATCTCGCTCCTCCTCCAGACGCGACAGGACAGAGTGAATAAACTCCTCCTATAACCATCAGAGAACAGGACACAACTCACTTCAGAGAGAAACTTCATGTTTAACGAAGAAAACATTTCAGGCGGAGCTTGGGTTCATCCTTCTGGATGTGATTGGATCATGAAAAGTGAGCTAATTAATTAAAATATTAATTTTAAATACGAATGTATTAAAATAATATTGCTCAGAATCATTTCAGAGGTGAAATAAATTTTTTTTATAAAATTAAAAATGATTAATAAATTATTTTTTTATTATTAAAAAATATTTTATTTTTTATATTATTTATTTTAAAAAAATGTAATAACTTATTTTTATTTTTTAATATACAGAATGTTATTTACATATTACAGTTTTTACATTATTTACTATTAGGGATGCACCGAATGTTCGGCAACTGAAATTATTCGGCCGAAAATAGCAAAAAAAGTTATTTCGGTGTTCGGCCGAATAAGCGAAAAGACCGAATAAATTGTAACTGTTGTTCTGTAAAATAAAAAAAAAGACAATAATAATGATAATAATCATTACAACAGCTCTGTTTTAATAAATTTATTATAACATTCACACATAGTGTTCAAATTAGAATCTGTAATATTGTCTAATGTTTTAAAAGAAGTCTCTTCTGCTCAGTTAGGCTGCTTTTATTTGTACAGTAAAAACTACATGCCTGATTCAAGAAGGGGGTCTGATGGCCAAAAAATATTAAACAATTAGTAAATAAACTGCAGAGCGTTATGTTTTCTGATACACGCGCGCATTGCATGTATTCTGACAGCGCTGCACAAGCTCGCAGGGAAAAAAAACTCCGTGTTCGGTATTCGCTATTTGGCCCAGTGTTTAATTTTGTTCGGTTTCGGCCAAGTATTTTCATTTCGGTGCATCCCTATTTACTAGACAAATTGCCCACTTGTTTTGTCAATGCTGATTATTAGAAAAATGCACTAAAAATAAATGCATGATTTTTAAAACTCAATTTTGACTGTAAATCTCCATATCCACACATATTTTGTTTATTTGAATCGACTCACCATCTCTTCTCTGCTCTCGAAGTCTTCTGGGATGACGATGTGTGACTTCTGGAAGCTCTCTGGGAGAGAATGACTCTCCAGTCCATCACCTTAAAACATCAGCAGGGTGATCGTCAGTAGAGTCGCTGTGCTAAAACATGTTTCTCTCACACGCGTGAAGCGGAACTCACCGTCGTCTCTGTGTGACGTGTTCAGGGACGAGTTGTTTAGCAGCTCCTGCACCTCCGTCTTCAGCTCCTCGTTGTCTCTGGACAGCTGGTTCAGTTTCTCCTGCAGGAGGCAGTAATGCAGCACTGAGAGCGTGACTTTCTCATATTTACACCTCAACAACTTCACTGATACTGTTATCCAATCACCACAGAGCTCATTCACAGGTGTCTGTTTAAGCGTTGACACAAAACTGGAATTCTGACTTAAATACAAGACTTTGAAAAAGTTTTCATTAAAATCATTTCTATTAGAAGCGCAGATTTGCTGGTCTCAGTAAAACACTCCAGCCAGCAGTTAAACAGCAAGATGCAGCTGCTTCAGGTATCTGTAATATACTGTACAACTTATAGCTTTAATACTAATCTCTCCATCTGTCAAATTAGGTTTCTGAGCCCTGTCACTGTAAAGCAACACAGCAAATATAATTTTTTTAATCATAATATATGCATAATATATTGTAATAAATGTAATATTTACATTTACATCTCTTCCATCTTTATTTGACCCTCTAATTCTAGCACTCTCTATTCTAATTCTATTCTTTAAACTCTATTTACTAACTGCTTGTTTTCTTTAAAAAAACGAACAAACAAAACACTAGCTTCTCTAATATTTTTGTATTCTATCTATTTGTTTTCTTTTTATTTATTATACAATTAACAAAAGCAAAAAAAGGTGTTTATGTAAAAAAAAAAAAAAATAATAATAATAATAATAATTTAAAATTAGAAATATATTACTGTTGTAATATAATTGCACTGTACAATAAAAAGTATATTATTTTACTATAATTATTCAATTATTTACTATATTATAGACTAATAATTATTAAATTATGTTATTTTACAATAGTAAATAATTATTATTTGTAATTTTGTAGCAGGATTTAATTATTAATTACGTGTAATTTAAAAATAATATTTTCAAAATATTAATAAAACTAATATCATCTCAATGACTTGAAACAATTTGTATCGTGAAAAGCATTATGCAAGTAAACGTGAATTGATACTAAAATACAGATTCAGCAAAGAACAAAATATTTTCTTGAAGTCCCCCTGAAATTTTAAGTAGTAATAATAATAATAATAACAATAATGCAACAACATGTTTGCGGTTCTCTGATGTTGGTTAATGGTCACATGACATGCAAGTTTTTTTTTTTACAAAATTATTTCACTTTACAATAGTTAATAATTAATTATTTTGACTTTTGTAACTGGATTTAATAATTAAAAATGACTTAATTTATTCACTTGCAAAAGTTAAACTCTTGAGCTTTTATTTTGCAAATGTGAAATGTGAAAAATGCACGCTGCGTTCCCGAATGCACATTAAATTCACCTCGTGTACTGTGTTCAGAGACGCTGAAAACACAGGATCATGAGCTGATTGTGTACAAAAACAACTTAACAGCAAAACAACAGACTTTAATTAAAATGCACACTCCGGTGTGCGTCAACTTGAAATCAGAGGAAAGAGAGAGCAAGAGAACGCAGCTGGAAAAAAAATTGCATTAAAAAATCGATATGCATTAAAAAAGAAATCTATATTTTTGCGACCACCAGTGTGTTTAACTCTTTCCCCGCCAGCCACCAGCTGCTGGTATCCAGCCGTGTACTGCTGCAGGTGAGCCAGACACTGATCCCTGTGCTTCTGCGCAGACGCCAGCTCTCCGCACTTCTCCTGCAGCTGATGAGAGGAAGAGCGGACAGAGTCGGGTTAGGAGCGCAGAGACTACAGCTGCGCAACCATCAGCATGCAGGGATTCCCTGAGACGGTCTTCGTTTGCAGGACTTTTAACTATTAAATATCCCTGAAGTCCAAATGAAGGTGTGCAATGAATGCTGCTCCTTTTCCTTGGAATCAGCAACAAAATTAATTGTGCCTTAAAAAGTTGGTACCAGTAAATTATTTCAGGGGAGTTTTAAATGATTCGGCTGATTGTAGCCGTTTTGACTGATAATTTATGAGATGAATGTGATGTAAAAAATGTATGTTTATCTTTCGTAAAGTCTAATTCCTAAATTCAAGCTTTTTTCCTGTTTAAATAAAGAATAAATGGAAAATTCGCAGACTTTTTTGTCAGCTGAATCCCTTTAAGCTAAAATATTTACTTGAAATCTCCCTGAAATGTAAAGTTAATATTTCAATAACTAGGGATGCACGATATATCGGGCACCATATCGGTATCGGCCGATAAATGTAAATTTTCTGTTATCGTTATCGAACCGATAAGAGAATTTGGCCGATAATTATAAAAATGACAAATTATATAAATTTTTCGGCCAACATATCGGTTATCGGCTTTCATATTTAAAGAATTATCGTATCGGCCTAAATTTTCATATCGGTGCATCCCTATCAATAACTTAAGACATTCACATGGTGACAAATAATATTAATTTAATATTTTATAAAAAATATTTCATAATTAAGTTTTTATTGTTTTATTTGTTTGTGTTTTATTGTGACTTTGTAGCTGAATTTAATAATTATATATATATATTTATTATTCGTATATTATCATTATTGATCATGTTGTTGTTTTAACTTCTTATGTTTCATAAAAATCAAGACAGAAATACAGTACGGTTTAAAATTAAAATTGTGTTTTGAATTAGATAATTATAATAATTTAATTTCACACTACAAGTTGCAAAACGAATAATTATGTCTTAAATTTTGCACTTTCACACGTTCAAACCTGAGGTTTTGACATTTAAAATCCTTGAGCTTTTATTTTGGTGGAATATCAGTGAAATTCTGTAAAGCTTCCGTCCACAGACATGGAAACTGTGTGAAGTCTGCTGCGTTTAGTGTGAGTCAAGCCGTTAAAAACACTGTCGCGTGTAAACGAAACAGTGAAAACCTGCTTCTAGACAACATCTTCTCCTTTGATTTATATGCGGACACAAACCTGTTCTTTGGCACCGTGCAGATCTTCCTGCAGCTGACCAATCTTACGAGCGATCTCCTTCTTGATGTGCTGCTCGGACTGCAGAGCGCTGGTCAGCTCCATGTTCTCATTGGTCTGGAGGAGGACAGAGGTCAGAGGTCAGAGGTCGCGTCCACTCACTCGTGTACGTACACTACCGTTCACAAGTTTGGGATCAGAATGATTTTTAAAGAAGAGACTTCTTTAAAAACATTACAAGTCGTACTGATCCCACACTTCTGAGCGGTAGTGTAGGTCATCTGTCACTGGAGCTCACCAGCTTGACGAAGCCGTTCTGCAGCTCGGCCAGCTGGTCTTTGAGGTCTCGGTTCTGGGCCAGGGCTCTGCTGATGGTGGCCTTGTCGCTCTGGACGTCCTCCAGAATCTGGCGTCGATCCTGAGCCTCTTCAGCGGAGCGTTCTGCGTGTCTCTCCAGTTCTTCCAGCCTCACTTCCCGTTCCTGCACCAGTCGGCTCAGCTGCTCGTTGTCTCGCACCTTCAGGACACAACAGAGCGTGCAAATGAGTGTCTGATCTAATAACATTCCTGACATGCTAGGGTTTCACTGGCAATATCAAAGTAAGCAACACTGTGAATATTGTGTGTCATGTTCACATAATGTGGCACTTTAGAAACTGTGTGTGCATTTTTATTTTATTTTATTTATTTTTCTTAACCTTTATCCTTATCCAGTAAACCAACTGGAAAAACCATGTAAATTTATTGGTTAAACAGAGCATAACCCTGAAAAACATTCAGTTCTTAAATCTTTTATTTTTATTTTTATTATAATTATTTTAGTTACTTAATATTTTCAATGTACTTATTTAAAAAAAAAAAAAATTATATATGTATATATATATATATATATGTGTGTGTGTGTTTGTTATATTTAATATTATATACAATTTTATATGTGTAATATTAAAATATGAATACTTCATATTTTAAATATTTAATTTGAATTATCTTCTATAAATTCTGAATTTACAGAAACTAGGAGTTTCCACAGATTAAAATAAGTTTCAAAAACAAAACTAGGGCCAGGGGCCCTTCGAATATTGTTATGGAGAATGAAGAGGCCTTGGAGTCAAAAAGGCTGGTCTAATGCGTTTAAAAATATTTAGTAATCTAAATATACTGCAGTAAGAATGCACATACTGCATGATATAGTATCTTCACTTGTAAATTTAGAAAAACATGGAGTCAGTTGTGCAGTTTTTAAGACCAAAGGCACTGCAGTATAAATGCGTGCCGAAGCGTGCGTCACATGGTCAGTGTAGGTCACCTGTGCTTGGTACTGCAGACTGAGAGCGTCTCTCTCCTCCTGAAGGCTGCTGATGGTTTCCTGAAGGGCCAGTTCACTTTCTGAAGGGCCTGAGGCCTGTGACACGGCCTGCGGCTCCTGCTCTTTACTCATCAGAGCTGCGGACACAAGACAAACCTGTCATGCTCCTGTCTGAAGACCTCTCCACCAATAAGCTGGTGTGTGGTGGGCGTTCTGGCGCACTATGGCTGCCGTCGCATCATACAGGTGATGCTGCACACTGGTGGTGGATGAGGAGATACCCCTCACAATGTAAAGCGCTTTGGGTGCCTAGAAAAGCGCTATATAAATTTATTATTATTATTACTATTATTACTATTTATTTATTTATTAAGTTTTCATTAATATTCAGAATTTGTTTTTATTTTTATCTTTTTTGTTTTAATTTTAATTTCGCTCATTTTTATTTTTTAATATTTATTTATTAATTTTTCATTAATATTCTGAATTTGCTTACATTTTTATATTTTCTTTTTTCTGTTTCTGAATGTGAAATTATTGCAATATAAAAGAATATTGAAAAACTTTAATGTTAGGTGGGATTAATCGCGATTAATTTCAGAAAAATGTGCGATTAATTCTTTTTTTTTATTTTTATTGATTGACAGCACTAATAATCACACACACACAAAAAAATTAACCATTTTTTTTTTTTGCAATATAATAGGTGTTTACCTGAGACAGAAGCTGTTCTGTTTTGTCCTTCCACAAGCGTCCCTCCTCCTGTATCTGTCCAGAGTACTGATCTCTCTCCACCTGCAGCTGAGCCACCGACTCCATCAGCTGCACACACACACACACACACACAGAGAGAGACACACACACACACACACA